TTAGGGTTTTGAGAACTGGTGTTTTGCGAAGAACTTACTTGGAATCTTGAGATTTGTTGAAGAACAGGGGCGATTTGCAGGTTCTGGAGATTAGGGTTCTTCAAGAAAGTTAGTGATTGCAGGTTTTGAGTTCTTAACAGTTCTTAAGAGAGTTTCAAGGATTTGAAAGCGTAAAGAAAATTTGAAATGGGTACTATCTCTCCTTTAAATAGGGGATTTACTAGGGCACTCGAGTGGTTATTATACCCCAAGCGTCGAAATTGAAAGGTTTTTCTGCTAGACCATGTGGGGTGAAGCCATGTGGCCTGACAGTTTGCACGTCCCGCCTCCCTTATTGGAAAAATTAGGGATATAGGTTGTGACCTTTCGCAGATGACCTCCCATTATAATATTGTATTTTAATTACGCCTTCTTTTTGGAAAAAAATGACAAGTGTTTTTTAAACAGAGTTTGTAATAAGAGTGAAAATAGCCTCTGGATTGAAATTAACACTTAGAAAAAAAATTGAAAACCACATACTATGGATTATAGAAAGTGAGACACCTACTTTCTCGAGACAGAAGCTCTACATAGTACATACAGAAGCTCTTAACACAAAGAGACTTGAGTTTTCGAGAAAACAAGCATTTTGACACATACAGAGGCTCTGTGTCCTAAACTTAGGATTTCAAATACATCAATGGATTGAGAAACCACGTTTCTAGGGATAGAAGCTCTGTATAGTACATATAGAAACTCTGTATCCGAAACTTGAGATCTCAAGAATGCAAGATTCGTGAATCCAAGTTTCTTGAGACAGAAGCTCTGTATAGTACATACAGAGGCTCTGTACACGAAACTTAGGTGATTTCAAGAAAACAAAAAACGATGAGACCAGAGTATGGTTTTAAAGATAGATAACATACCTTTGGAGTAAATACAGAGGCTCGTGGTTGGACTATGCAGAGTTCATGCCTTCAAATGGAAATTTGGTGAGGCAGAAGCTCTGTATAGTACATACAGAGGCTCTGTATCTTTGGAGATCCGCTGCTCCCCCTTGAGTTTAGGTCGTTTGTGTTTTCCCCCTTGAACTATACTTGGATTAAAGATTATAAGATTTGTTCGAGCTATAGATCAAGGTACAGAGTCTCTGTATAGTAGATACAGAAGCTTTGTATGACAAACTTGACAAATTGTCGGAACTCGATCTAGAGGCTCTATAATACATGCAGAGGCTCTATAGTCTTGGATTTGAAAAGAAGTCAACCTTTGAGTAACAGACTCTGCATAGTACATGCAGAGGCTATGTCTCACGGACTTAGACAAAATAAACAAATACATGCTCAATGTGTGTGCATACCTAACTTGCTGACCAAGAAATTAAAATCTCTTTTCATCGAGAGCCTTGGTGAATATGTCTGCAAGTTGGTGATCTGTATTAACAAAGAACATTTCAATCGTACCTTCCTTTACAAGGTCCTTGATGAAATGGTATCGTGCATCGATATGCTTTGTTTTAGAGTGTTGTACTGGATTAGCCGTGATGGCTATTGTGCTTTCAGAGTCACACAATATTGGAATTTTGTCAAACTCAATGTCGTAGTCCTTGAGTTGAGTCTTCATCCATATTACTTGGGAACAGGAGATGGTTGCAGCTACATACTCTGCTTTTGTAGTAGATGTTGATATGTAGTTTTGCTTCTTGGATGTCCAAGTTGCCAAGCAGTTGACAGCTCCCGAATGTGCTCTTTCGATCGAGTTTGCATCGTGCATGATATATGTATATGTAATAAGATCAAAGCCAGAATTTTTAGGATATCTGAGACCTAAGAATTGAGTCCCTTTTAGGTATCGAAAGATTCTTTGTACGGCTGAAAGGTGAGATTCCTTAAGATTAGCTTGATACCTAGCACACAGACAAGTGGCAAACATTATGTCTGGTCTACTTGATGTGAGGTACAACAATGATCCAATCATTTCACGGTAAGTCTTAACATCCACCGATTTTCCAGATGGGTCTGTGTCAAGCTTAGTCCTTGTAGCCATTATTGGAACCTAGAATCCTCTTAAGTATCAAGAAACACATTATAAAACAGAGTAGGAATGGAAGCAACTACTGTGTAACTGGAATTGGTCAACAAATTTAAACAAAAACAACTATGAATGAAAACATGTTTGAATAAATTGGTTGCTTTGTTATTAGATGATGAGAATACAAATAAAATCTCTACTAACAACTAGGTTCTCACAAGAAATCTCTATAATGGGAGCGTATAAGAATTTTAGCAATTTGGATTTTTTAAACCCAAGGAGGACACCTCCTTTTATACGTCCAGGTACAAACAAAATCTTCTATAATCTAGGCTTCAAACTCTTACTTCTTGTTCAGAGTCTCCAACTTTCACGTTCCTTGGAATGTTGAACCGTGTTAGAACCCCACTTGTAAAAGTGTAAGTAAGAAGTCTCTTACTCTAGTCTTTTAGGACTTAGTCGATTGAAGCAGTCTGGATTAAGAGCTCTTATGAAGAAGATATTAAGAGACAGAGCTCTTACTCAAAGAGCTAAATGTCTCAGATACAGAGCCCATGCTCAACCCAGAGGAAGATCAAGACTTAAGCATCGAAAAGAATAAGTACTTGATGCAGAGCTACATTCCAGACACAGAGCCTCTGAGTCTCCTACTTCCTTGATTTGCGCACAAGTTGTTTAGACTTATCCCCAAGACTCTAAACAGAATCTGCCACATACACACAAGTTGTTCCACTTTCCATGGAACGTGAAGGCTGAGGACGCTGAACAAGAAGTCATAATTTGAAGCCTAAAAATTAGGAGATTCTATCTTACATGGACGTATAAAAGAAGGTATCCTCTTCAGGTTAAAATACCTGAAAGACTGCCAACTTTGACTACGCTTCTAATATAGAGAATTCTTGAGAGAATACCTGTTAGATTGAGAAATTGTCATTCTACTCTTATTTAATAACGCATCCAACTTATTCAAGCTTATTTTCATTCTTATCATTTCTTGTTTAAATATGTTAACCATTTCAATTGCATAGTTCTTGCTTCCACTCAAACTTTGTTTTACTGTGTTTATTGGTACTTAAGAGGAACGGTACAGAGTCCTTCTACAGAGCAGAATTCAAAAGTTGATGAGTGACAACGGTACAGAGTTCAAGAATGCAAAAATTGACGCATACCTTGACAAAGAGGGAATCTCTCAGAACTTCTCTGCTGCAAGAACACCATAATAGAATGGTGTTGTAGAAAGGAAAAACCGAACTTTGGTTGAAGCTGCAAGAACGATGCTTGCAGACTTTGGTCTTCCAACCCACTTTTGGGCAGAAGCGATCTCAACCGCATGCTTTACTCAGAATAGAGCAACTGTCGTTAAGAGTCATTTGAAGACTCCTTACGGACTCAACAACCAAAGAAAACCTAATATTAATTTTTTACATGTCTTTGGTTGCAGATGCTTCAATATGAATGATCGTGATCATCTTGGAAAGTTCGGTAAGAAGGCTGATGAAGGAAAGTTTCTTGGATACTCTACACACTCCAAGGCCTACAGAGTCTTCAATCTACAAACCAAGACGATCATGGAAAGCATCAACGTCTCGTTCGACGATAAAGAACATACGAATTTAGAGTACTTCAACTCTAGACTCAAGCTTAACCCAATGACTTCCAATTCTCTATCGAAGTCAAGGGAATTGGAACTCGGGCAGCTTTTTGAATACTTCTTTGGTGATGAAGACATCTCTGCATGTGCACCTAGAGATGACTCTGCACGTGTTTAAGGAGAGCCACAGACTTTAAGCACATCCATCTCTGGCCCTTCTAACATCTCTGCTTCCTCTGGTGATCAAGCCAATCCATAACCAGAGCCTTCAAGCTCTGGATCAGAGCCTAGTCCTTCAGAGCCAGTGAACGTTACCCCTGTCTCTGAACCTGGTTCCTCTGTATCATCATCCGAGGGGGAGAAAACAAAGCCATCATCACCAACTACGAGCTAAATGCCAAACATACCAGAGGAGCAAGATCCTATGACTCCAACGTCTGTACAAGCTCCCATGACAAGATGGACAAAAGACCACCTCGCTCATCAAATAATTGGTGAACCTTCCAGTGGAGTAAAGACAAAAGCTGCCACAACCAATGAATGTTTATTCGTAAACTTTCTAAGCGTGGTAGAGCCCAAGAAAGTTCATGAAAATATTTGTAAATTTTGTATTGATCTTCTCATATCAATAAAAGATTTTAAAAATTGAAAACTGTGTGTTTGTCTTCATCCCCCTGTACAAAACTGTTACCTACAAAATTCTTGTAGATCCGTTTGGGACCAACAATAAACCTAGACATCAAACCAATTCTACATTCAAAATATTTGTAAACTAAACCATATTTCAAACAAAGCAAGGCTAAAAAACAAGCGAATGGAGTGTCCAGGTTTACTGGAATTTTCTACAACAAATCATCCAAACAAAACTTTCTACCAATCACTCAACTTAATTGGGGATGTGGAGATAGGAACTCGAATAGATAGATTGATGATGGCAACCATTTAACAAGGAACTGGTTGCAATGAGTTTAAGGACAGGGGACAACGATTGTTTCAGGTTGCACGTTGGAATTCCTGTGATTAGTGCTAAAATACAAAAGGCGATGTGGAATGGAGGTTATTTCAACGGAGATGGAGATCATGAGAGATTGAGTCTGGAGAAGGACCTTTGTGCTCTACCAGTGTTCGCTAACAAGGAACTGTTTAACAAATGAAGAAGGGAAATTTTGGAAGGAGGTTGGACGAGGGTTTATATAAATATTATAATTTATAAATAAATAAAATAAATTTTTAAAGAAAACTGACGATAATATCCTTCATTTAACGAAGTTAATGTTTAGGACCATTTTTAAAACAAAACATAAATCACAAAGATAATCATCTTATTAAAGATTAGGTATCACTTTTTGAGATTTCACTAAAGACGAAGAACCTAAATTGTAGTTTTTAAAAAGGAAATTCACCATCGGCGTGGGGTGACCGATAAACCATTGTGTCCGTCAAAAGTGTGCCATCACCTGTAAATCGAATCCTGCTTCTCTCTCTGGATCTGTTGATATCACCGATCTAGATCTGATTAACAATGGCGGCAGCACCAGATTTGTTGTTTGGTCTGAGAAATAACTTTTACTTGGGAGCGTATCAAGCTGCCATAAACAGCGGTGATGTCCAAAACCTCTCCGAAGAGGATGCAATAGAAAGAGATTGCCTCATTTACAGATCCTACATTGCGCTCGGCAGCTACCAAGTAAATTATCGCTCCTTTATCTTCTCTCTTGTCGGTTATGATCTTTGGTTTGATATGTAATTTTTCTTGATCTTCAACAGCTTGTGGTTAATGAGGTTGATTCATCTGCCGCAACGCCTCTCCAAGCCGTGAAATTGCTTGCTTTGTATCTTTTAAGCACCGATAATAAGGTGAAGTTTCTTTGGATCGATCTCGATAGTCATTTTAAATCTATAATTATGTAAGCAGCGTGTACCTAAGCTAAGGCGGTTGCGGTTCCCTGGAGACCATAGGAAAAATATCATTGAAAATTAAATTTGCAAAATTCATGGCTGTGATCGTATTTACCTGCGCACACTGGATGTATACCCTGTTTAGTAGAATTTGTTACAGGGTTCAATATGTCTTATCAATTCTATATGTAACATCTGAAGCATCCGTGTTGATTATGTAATTGAATGTTAGTCCTTAAACCCCAAGAACTGTTTATGTTTAGTAGACTTTGTTATAGGTTCAATATATCTATCAATTGTTTATATAAAAAGCTAAAGCATTCATATTTATTATGTAATTGAATGTTAGTCCTTTTACCTCAAAAACTGTTCCTTTATCTTGTGATGAGGAGACTAACGTTATAAAATGTTGTTGAGTTGCTAGTACCAATTGATATTCACACTACATAATTTGCTCCTTTTGATGTTTTGCTTACTCATGAATTGTTCTTTAGTGATTTAGGTAGACAAAGTTATGGTGTTACAATTTAAGTCGAGGAATTAGAACCCTTGTTCTTAATCGTGGTTGCCCTGGGACTAGTTGGCTCACATAGCGGGTTGGATATCCAGGTTAATAAAAAAACCCAGAAAAACCATAAATGGGGAAACAAAGAGAATAAAGGGATGTAAAGCTTTGGCTTGGCAATCAAGTACCAAGTTATTCAAAAGAATACGGGCATGTGTGAAGTTATCAAGTTAGTGTAGACCTATTTATTTTGTTATTTTGATGATTGGATGGTCAAGATGTGTAATAATTTTCACACATGGCATTGGATTTTATAGGAAACTGTAATTTCAAGCATACGAGAGTGGTTGAGTGACGCAGCCGTTGGGAACAACCCAATTCTCAGGCTTATTGCTGGGATCATATTCATGCATGAACAGGACAATAATGAAGCTCTGAAGTACACAAACGTTGGGGGAACTATGGAACTGTTGAGTTTTACTCTGCGCTTAACTAATATCTTTTTATACAGTATTACTATTTTTTTATCGCCATTCAATGATGCATGTTTGCTGTTGATTTTTGATAATTATATGTTTCAATCCTTAACTGTTGGACTTGTGTAATCCGTGTCTAATTTTGGAGCAATTTTTTGTTTCATATCGTATTCTCTCATGTCACTGTTTAAGGTTGTCACAGGCGCAAAGTTTCTCCTGGTTGATGTTTGCCAACATTTTTTTTAGTTATTTTTTATATGCTTGCCTCACATATTTCAAGTCTTGTTATATGAGTTATCAGTTTGTTAGTACTTCATGTGAAGTCTGCATTCACCGTCTTCTATTTCTGATGGTAATTAGAAACCAATGGCCTCTCACTATCCTCATTCACTTCTGTCCTATTATCGACAATTGAGGCCTGAACCAAGAGGAAACATAATCATAAGATTGTCTAACTGTGGATTATGGAATATATGGAAGGATGCAAAACCTAATTTTTTGATAACGAGATCATATCATGATTGGTAACGTGCTACGTTTTGTTTTTCCCTTCCCCACCTTTCTTGCATTCACTTGTCTGATCCTAGCTTCTGCTAATGCATGACTTTGTGCACTTTTCTTTATTTACCATATTTTGAAAGTTGAAACAACTATGCTACTTTCAGACTCATGCCAATTACTTGATTTATTCTCAAGGGCTGAAGCAAAAAACTAGCAGAAATTAACACCGAGTCACTGACAATTTAAACTAAATTTCAGATATGGAATTAACTAGATTCGTCACTTAGAAAATTTGGTTGTGGTGTAGAACATAATCAACATATATCAGTTGTAGTGCACTTGAATCCAATTTTTCTTTATGATCTTAGATAAGCAAGTGTCTCATCCTCTATGTGGTTCTGATGGATTTTCTTGCTTTCAGGACTGCCTTGAATGTCCAAATTTTCCTCAAGATGCACAGATCAGATTATGCAGAGAAGCAATTGAGAATTATGCAACAGATTGATGAGGATCACACACTAACTCAACTTGCTACTGCATGGCTAAATTTAGCTGTGGTATGTAATTTCCTCTCGTTTTCATTTATTAAACTAAAAACATCATTCTTACTGCTACTTGTTTTTGAAACAGGGTGGTTCAAAGATACAAGAAGCATATCTCATCTTCCAGGACTTCTCGGAGAAGTACCAAATGACTAGCCTGATCCTCAATGGGAAAGCTGTGTGCTGCATTCACATGGGTAATTTTGATGAAGCCGAATCATTTCTATTAGAGGCACTCAACAAGGTAAATTTCAGATCAACTCCTTTTCGCATTCATTGGAGGTTCATACTCACCCTGATTGAATTTATTGGTTATAGTCACTCAACGAAACTGCTTGTACGAGAATATAACCCATCGCATTCTATATTGCATGGGCTAAATATGTTCCTTTTCATTGAAAGTACTGGTCAGATACCATCTTTCTGTAATTAGAAAAGGATCTTTTGTTGTATCTGTTCTTCGGTTGAGTTCATGTGCTGCCTCAAACTTGTCTACTTATTGATAACCTAGCATTTATAGTCCTGCTTTTGATGCCTCAATATAGGATGCAAAGGATCCAGAAACACTGGCTAATCTAGTAGTATGCAGTCTTCATCTTGGGAAACCTTCTTCACGATTTTTAAGGTAATGCCATTGCACCTGTATGGGAAATAACATTGTTGTCATGCACATACACATGAACACATGCATATCTGTGTTAAGAACCACACGACGTTACTATTCGAGAACTAGAAATACAATAACTTGAATTTCTCCCTCTATATCTATCTTATTCCTATTTGTGTTACTGTTGCATCATTGTTTTGGTATTCTCTGGAGTCTTTTACTAGCCGGTTAGTATATATGCTCTGATTGATGACTAGAAAAGTTTGATTGAATCCACATTTCATTTATTGTGTTTACAAACATAAAAAGTTTGATCTTTTCTGTGGTATCTTGATAACAATTTGCTTCTTGATTTAATCGGGTCATACTTTTTACAGTATTATGTACTAATTATTATGAACTTAGTTTTCAACTAATAAATACCCCAACTTTTAGGTAGATTGAAAGTCCTATTCATATGCCATTGACATATGAGTTCTTATTTGACCTTAGACATGTGCATCAGCATGCCTTCATAATTTCTGAAATTCATGTATAATAGCTTTAGATCCCTGTTGATGGGATCCTGAAGTAGGAAGGAATCTTTTAGCAAAAGTCTAGCAAAATGTATATGTTCGTCATCTGTAATCATTTTCACATGTAGACCACAGAACCATGAGTGCTATTGCATAGAAAATAGAGTAAAAGAGAATGATGTGCATATCATAGCTATCAGTCTGCAGGAGATTAATGGATGGCTGTCAGGCCCAAACAAAGTTAGGAGTTTGTTGATCATATGTGCTCACACATCAAGTACCTCATTCTATTGCTCAACTCTATTTGGTTTTCTTTGGGAACACAACATCTTATCCCTTGAAAAGAATATGAAAGAGGTATATTAAATTGTGTATGTCACATGTGAAACATTTGTATTTTCTCTTGAGGCTTTTCGTTCACCCATGGCTTCATGTGCCTGGTTTGTCAAGTAATGCTAGAATGTAACAGCAGAACCAATAAAAGGACATTTGGTCATATCATACCTTGGTCAGGTGGCTGGTGCTTTGTTGAATGATTAATGGCATGTGATCTCAATAGGATCATCTATCTCTTCTGATGATTTGTCATATTAGGATCGGATCTAGCAAATGCATACAACTTCGTGCATTCTTGTTTGAAGCGTTGTACTCGAGAGAATTGCACCCACAGCTTCTCTCCTTTTTTAGATGAAAAATCAACCTCGAATGATCAATTACAATTGATAGACTCTTCTCATATGATGTGCCTCTTCTTCCTTCTTTTGCTGAATGAAAGGGTTTGAAGTAGAGGGAGGAGAAAGGGTAATCAAGTGAATTTTGAGGAGATGACTAATACCAGAAGTGAGTAAATTCTCCATAAACAGGACCGTCAATAACATATGAACTCCTCTTCTCTTGGAGCTTCTTTTAGGACGAGTTTAACAAAGTTTTTGTTGCAATTATGTTAAAAGCAGATGTTTTCCAAATATATTTTGCTCATTGATTAAATCAACACATTTCAGATACAACTACAGTTTTACACAATGCTAATCGGCTCTCTTGCAGTGGGTTTAAGTTTTAACCAAAGTTGGCATGCTAAGACTTTTGAGATACATCCAATAAAAGCTTTCTCAACTGATGTTTTAAGCAAAGCTTTCGATATAATTAATGATACAAACATATCATGTAATTAATTTTTTTTATTTAAAACGATTCCTCAAAACTGAACGAGAGGGTGTTATGGACTGATGGTGGATAACCTGGTGGAAACTAAGGGTGATGGCTTGAAGAAAGCTGTTTACGGCGCCTTAACATAAGGTTAAAATCTCACCTCTTCATGCATCTTTTGACCACTTATTTACTTGAGCGGCTTCTGATTACTCGTCTTAGTTAAAACATGTGTTCTGTGGGTGCAATGGTTTAAGTGTGGATTAAGTTGAAGGGAGGTGAAGAGCCTATTAACTAGAAGGTCGTATGGAATCTGTTTCATGCTTTTCACTGGTTTTCCATTTTTTTGAGGATGATATGAAGCACATATCTAGCCTTATACTAACCTCAAGTATAGATATAGGCTTGAAGGTGTTCTCCCTTTGTTTCTCCTTTTTGTAGAAGGATATTGGCTATGATTTTTTATTCCACAATTCTAGCGAAGGTTGAGGTGCTGATTAGCCTGCTCTAAACTGTAAGAGGATACATGATTACATGGTTGGTCATCTCTCTAAGCAAAGTGTCTATTCTTGATGGTTCATGTTAGGTAATTTGATTAAAGTCGGCAAAAATTATGTAATTGGTATAATTACGAGAGTAGAAGTATGTGATTGATAAATCTTTTTGTTCAAGCATGTAACTGAAAAATGTGTGAAAGTAGAGCAACTTTTTTTTTTCTGTTTCGGAATGTACGGGTGTAAGTAGGTTGGTTTTTACACTATCAATTAGTTTCTCCCTTAATTCTTAAGGAAAATCCAAATGACTGAAGAAAATCTGGATCTTGGCAATTATTATCGGGTACTTGATCTCTATCGACACAGTACCCCCCCTCCATACAAAATGATTGCTGGTTTGGTCTTGAGAGTTCTTTCCAACTTATTGGTTTGCTTCTATATCAAGTTTAAAATTGACAACTTTGATTTGGTTGGATTTATATCAGTTCCTTCTTTTTTATCTATGTTAACATGGTTCTTGATATCCTATTTAATAAGCAAATTTCTTGTTTATTGACATTCACATCCACTACCTATCATTTCTCTCAATATTTTCTCGAGCTTGTAATTTTTTTGTGGGAATAAGCTTTCTTGTGTTTGCATGACCTAATGAGAACCCTCCAACTTGACTTCAAAAAACACAAAAAAGGGAAAATCAACATAGGAAACTACAGCCCGTACTCTGTAGAACGATCTCCAGAAACAGCAACTGAAATTTTGATTTGTTTGTCTTTGCAGCCAGTTGAAACTATCTCATCCCGATCACATGCTAATCAAACGGAGTTTGACTGCAGAAGAAAGTTTTGACAGAGCAATACAAACCATTTGAGATGTGAAAGGATTTGGTACCATTCTTGCCGTTTGTCACTCCTGTGGTAAGTTTTGAATATTGAACTCACAAGTTTGATTGTCAAAAGGATTCCTAGCAGACTCTTTATAATGGTTTTTGTGCTGGATTTGTTGGTAGTTGTTTTCTTGAATAATCTACAACCTTTGTTTTATCATCACTAAGAATACTTTTGGGATATAATATCTGTTTCTTGTGATTTTTTGGCTTATATAACAAATTTAGCAACACAGTCGGTTGGCTAAAGATCTGCTTACATCCCAACCCCTGACCCCACCTTTGTGCCTTAAAAACTTTGTATATGCTCGCCAATATACCAATACCTATGCTGTCAAAATCGTGATATATCGCCGATATATCGGATATCGCTCGGAAAAAAAATATCGGAACTCATATATCGGACAAAATATCGGGAACGATATTATCGGCGATATTTTCCGATATTTAGCGATATTTGGCGATATTTTAAGGTAAAAATCGGGCCGATATACCGATTTTATAGTTCTTACAACATCGAGTCTTCGACTTCTTCTTCTTCTCACAACGTTTCTCTTTTCTCGGCCTCTCTTCTCGATCTCCTCTGCTTTTCTCTGTAATCGACACAACATAGCCAGCGTCTGATGGCAACGGGGCGGGGATGGAAGAAGGTCGATTGCTGGTCTGCTGCTCACTCTACCGGCCGTCGCTTACAAGGGTCAAGGGGGGAAGGAAGGCGATGGCGGTCGATGGTAAGTGGTAGGCGGTACGGTAGCTATCGCTTAGAAATACAAGTGCTCCAGGCCAGTCCAAATTTCAAAAAGCCCAAGCCCAAATGACTAATTAGACTATTAGACTAACAGTTTGCCCAAATGACTAATTTTATTATTTATTAGATGATGTAATATTTTAATTTTGAAACTATATTTCTAAACTCTAATTAATGCATATTATATATAATTCTAAGATATATTATGTTAACCGTTATTTTGGACCGATATATCAACGATATATCACCGATATAACCGATATATCGAATATCGGTCCTGACCGATATTTCGTATTATGACCGATATAACAGCATAGACCAATACACAGTCAATAAAACCCTTTTGAATGGGTAAACAGTTCATCATATTACAACATAAAGTTGTCTGGTTATGGTTGAATAATGTTACATGAACATGTCGGTTACTGGAACTAGGTATTCGACTTAGGTGACTCAGTGTACATTGTAAGCTTGTCATTCATCATCAGAACCATGACCAATGCTCCAGTTGGTCCTATACATGTGACCCGCACTCATGTTTTCACTAAAATCCTTTTGCCAACACTTCTTCACATGCCGGGGTTTTCATAAGAAACAACCACTCTACTATCAAGGGAGAGGACATATCTGTGTACTTTCCACCCTTAGAGCTTACTTCCGAGTTTGAAATACTTTTTGGGTTTGTTTTGGCTTTATAACATTGAAGAGCTATACGACATGTCTAGCTTTTCTAATGGATCTTGATTTTGGCACTCGTTCGGTTTTTTTCTTAATCTTTTGGGCAATAGGGTTTGTAACCGGCAACCCGAGCCACCCCACACTGCCCCAGCTCCAAGAGCATTATATGAGATATAAAATCAGGTGTACAACAACTTTTTAGGTTAGCCGGCTTAAGAGTCCAGGAGTGCCCACAAGGAGCGAATCCTCATGGGAATTGCAACTCTCATGTTGTGGCTGCCAGATTCGAGCCTTTGTTTTAACGATGTGCAAATATATCATCGAGGACCAACTATGCTACTCCCCGAGTCCCATAATTTTATTTCTTAATCGTAGGGCTGCTTAAGATAGATTTGATTTTTCTGAGGTCCAAAGAGTTGTGTGATTGGCAAACAAAGTTTTTGCTTAAATCCTAAACATCTCATGGTGTGATTGTACAAGGAAATCAATTAAGACCCAACAAAAACCTACATATATTTCGCATATCCAATAGGCCAATCACTAATCAGTGTTCTAAAACTCTTTAATTGTTGGCTTCAGCATCAAGTGTTTTCCTGCCATTTTCATTCCCATTCCTTACCCCCAACCAAATTTTTTGACTTCTCATAACCTGTCTCCGGTATTTGACTTGTTGCACTTAGAAGGTAGAGATGCGCAAACGGGTCGTTGCACCAAGACTAGGATCAGATGAAAAGAGACCGCCTAGAATAGTCTTAGGGGCCGTTTACCAAACGCTTACCCAGGTAAGCGCTTACCAAAATCACATTACTTTACCGGATGAATATGGCAAGGACCAAGAATCTTACTCAGTATGACTGAGATAAGGGTCAAGAGTCTTATCCGGTAAGTGATAGCGACGAGTCTTATCCGGTAAGTGAGAGCGACGACTCTTACTACGGTAAGTGCTTACCGAGTAAATTGTTGCGTACGATGCCGTTTTGGTGGATTAAAATCTTACCCGTAAGTAAATGACAGTGTTAAATTTTACCAGTAAGCGTTTATCGGGTAAATGTTTGGTAAACGGCCCCTTAGTTTTCAGACGAATGATGGGGAAAAACCAAGTTTTGAAGGTCCAAGGAAGACTTACTTCGGGACTCTTTTGAACGTCTCATCTCGACTTGCTTTTGCAGATGCAACTGTCGTTCAAAAAACAAAACAAAATCTGGTCATGCCAAAACTGATTATGACCGTTAGGCCGAGATTGATCCTAGTTTTCACAATAACCGGTCAAGACCCATCTCTTTCTACATCTATGCTAGAAGGTAATTTTTACTTTATTTTTACTAGTGTGGGAACCGTACATTGCACGGTAATATAAGTACTTTAGTCAATGATTCGAAGATTGTCTATAATGTTAGTTGTTAATATAATCATCAAGAAATAATATTCAAATAATTTGAAAAAATAAATAAAATCTAATTAATGAAAATTTAATATATATATGGAGAGAGAGAGAGAGGGGGGAGGGGGAAGAGATATATATGTTTTGGAATAAAGTTGTAAAAATTAAATAAAATGAGTAAAAATAGCGATGGGAGTGTAGATAATTTATGGATTGTTTGTCTGATTGATGATGAAGTTCTTTTTTGCTTTTTAAAAAAAGGATGATACCTCTACTGATTTTTATTAAGAAATAAATAAATGTACGTGTAAATATCACGATAACTAATTATATGTATAAAAAATGTGGTAACTAATTATTTTAGTTTATCCGAAAATAAGTGTCCACTAAAATAATGTCTACTAGCGCTACTTATGAGATAAAGAATTTATTAATCTCTCAATTATGAATGATAAAATTGTCATTTAGTGAAAATCCCATTATGATCAAGTAAAAAGTAAACTAAACAATCAAGAACAACAATTAAACTCAAATTGTATGTATTGATTGTTTTCTCTCTTTAGAAACTCTCTAAAAATATGAACTTTTAAATCCATGAGAATGAGCTCTCACTTCTATTACAAACATTACAAGGTATTTATATGGATTGACTAATTCAAAGTCAAACTACAATTTCAACATTTACATTACATGAATTTTGACTATTTTTGACTTTGACTTGGAAGTTCTGACCTCTTCATTCTCCGATATCGTCTTCATACATGGTGATCTCGGATACAACATATTTTAGGTCTAACAATCTCTCTCTTAGGATTCGAGATCACAAATTAGTATTTATCAGAACTTTTTAAAACAAGACTTCAACTAAACTTTGAATTTAACAATCTCCCCCAAATCATAAGTCTTTAACAAACTCTCCTTTATGAAGACGATCAAACTTTATCAACCTTTGAATAAGATGAATCTAGAAATAACAATCTCCACTTTCCAAAAAAACATTTTTAAAGAAAAATCTTCAATTTGAAATCATCTTTAGAATCATTTATAAACTTTCTCTTTCAAGTTCTTCAATAGAAGTCAACAGAACTTCAAGAAATCATTTCAGTCAACAGTCAACTACACTTCAGGAATACATCTTGAAACACCAAATAAGCTTTGGACATTCAGGATTGAAGCTTTGACACTACGTGTACTAAGCTTCTCACCTTCATATCATGAAAAAATCTAACTTTATCAACAACTTTCTTCCAACAGTTCTGCTTCAAACTTGCAAAAAATCTTTCACAGATAAGTCAACACAAATCACTAACATCAACTTCAAAACAATATCAATCTTTTTCTTTTTCATCACATCTACAATCTTTAAATCTTATGGCTTTTCAGTCGTATCAAAAGATTTAAATTCAAACTTTCTCTTCCATAAACTTTGAATATTCTTTCTTTCTTGTAGTATCTGCACAATCTATTTTAGTCTTCATATCTTCATATCCTTGCATCATATGTTTACCGCATTACAAGTTATGCTTTCAGATTATGATATGCATGAGCTTACTAGACCTTTGACTGGTTGTTTCTGTTTTAAAAGCTATGCGTGCATCTCATGATCAAATATCACGGGAAAATAAATTGGAGATGAGATTGTTTAAGTATCTGAAGATAGATGAGGTTATGAACTTCTCCTTGTTTTTAGTGCTTTAAGAAGGAACCAAAGATGCTTATTTCAAGGTATGTTCCACTACAACGTAAGGTTTCGATCTTAAAGTCAAAATCATATCATATTATGGTTTATCACCATGTTTATATTATGGATGACTAATGAGTATTACGTTCATGAACTGAATACGTGTTGTAATATTCTTAAATGGGTTGCATTGATCATTTTTGTCATACCAAATTACGAGTGAAATACTTGATCTAAAACACTTTTACAATGAAAACTAATGTTGCAACTACAAAAATCTTTACAAATATAAGGTACATTAATATATTTCATTTACTTTAAAAATAAATAGGATACTAACAAATGAATTAAATATTCAACATGATTTTTTCTCAAAATTAAGTTATAGGAGCTCAAATGTAATTATGACATATTCCTTATGGGCTTGGGTTAGGTTTATTTAGGACCCCAATCATCTCGGTTTGTAAAAGTTAGCACCTTATTGGGTTTGGTCGACTGGTCAGGCCATCGGATTTTTATGCAACCTTATTTTCGATCCCACCCTAGAACTTGCCTTGAGTATAGAAATAAGGACACATCTCTACCCCATTAACTCTCAAGGCATGAACTTCCCTTCAAATTTTAATATCTATTAGTTTTCTTCTAATGTAAATTTTTTTAATATTATTATATTATTGAATAATAAATAGAAAACATATATATATATATATATATATATATATATATATACCACACAAATTTGTTATTTTATGTCACGTCTTAAAAAATATTGTGTCTTCACTATGGTGCGTGTAAGGCTTAAGGCTTGAGTTCGTCGCTATGTCATGTCTCACGCCATTTTGAACCTTGCGCACAATGCATGGGACATCATTTTTTTGCTAGGGATGTAAAAAAAAACCATCAAATCGCTAAAAATGGTTGAACCAAATCAAACCGGACCGTTTTGACGATTTAAGCGGTTTGGCAGTCCGGTCTAGTCTAAAAATAGCCAAACCGCTCAGTCTGATCCGGTCTGTTGTTTGAGCGCCTTTTTGAAGGGTTTGGACCAAACTGACCACCAAAATATATTAGTTATTTAGTTTCATGTTATAAGCTCCATTTTATATCCAAATTAAAAGTTCGTCTAAGACATTAAATACACCAAATATCTACATCCAAAATTCCAAACCTCTTTCGACTTCTCAATGTTTATTAAATTCTAACTATTGTTAATGAACTTCCTTAATGTTTTTTTTCTGAAATTTTGGAGATAGACTTTTTTTATAATTTGGTATAATATTTTTTTAAAACTTTATATTGGTAGAAATTTCATATTGGATATAGATGTTATGTTTAGTTTAAAACCTATAATAGATCAGATCAGACCGTCTTTTGTGGTCTAGTTTGACCGGCTTGGTTAGTTGCTAACAAACCGTTGGGTTTGGAAAACTTCCTAATAAACCGTCCAAACCGGATCGTAAACACCCATATTTTTCTGCTGATTTCGATCATTTTCGAGCTCTTTTCGAAAGGGTTTTTCGTATGATTACATTGACCAAATGATTTGTGACATTTTGTAACACAATATCCCTAAAAACCGTCAATATTTGAGTTCCAATTTAACCCATTCATATGCAAAGGATTTTCAATATTCATGATATTTTTCAGTAAAACTCGAATATAAGCTACTGCAATCATATTGAAGCATAACCATGGTTTTACTAATTCAAAACTTCAAAGAGTGGTTAAAATTTTACATCAAAATTGAAGCTTATGCTGTGTTTTCAGATTAAGGGAAGAAGAAAAAGAGCGAGAACACAACGTTAGACCAAACTCGCGACTCGGTCTCCTTAACCATCGATTACTCTTTGAGAATTTATGAGATCAATTGCTGCATTTGATTTGTTTAATTGAGAAGTATGCTTATCTATATTATATTATAAAGCATTTGATAAAAACTTTTAAAAACCATTTTTATGCATAAAGTACTGCTTATTAATGCATGTTACTTAAAACTTAAGATTACAAGTAGATTGTGCGTAAGTACAACTTATTAAAGCTCTATATCTGAATTTGTGTAACTAACTGCAGATAAACATAACCAAATACATGATAAACATCTTATTTCAAATATAAAAAATCTAAAATAAAATTAGGATAATCATTGAGTTCTAACATAATACTTAACTATTATCTTTATAAAATGTTGTATTATTAAATCAAAAATAAATTATTTTATTATTAAAATTAAATTTAATTATGATAAAAAAATAAATTAAATAAATTACATAAAAATGATAACTTTTAAATAGTTTATTTGATATTAACATCGATATATTTTTTTTCAAATTTTTATGATATCTTCAAATTTATATTTTATTCAAAAATAAAATCATTATTGTTTTTTCTAAAAACACATAAAATCCTATTATAACATCAATAGAGACAAAGAATAAAATAGAACATTAAAATCGAGATGTATCTCGTTGCATTACGCGAGTACCCTTCTAGTACTTTACAAAACATGTTCCTAAAATTTTATTAAGATTTTGAAATAGCTTTGATTTTTTTGGTTATAGGATGATATAGGGGTATAAACGATTCGAGTTTATACCGAGCTATTAGAGCTCGAGCTTAATAATTCTCGAACTCAAGTTGATCTCGATACAAATTAGAACTCGTTTTGTTTAACGAACCGAGCTTTAAAACACTAATGTTCGACTTGGCTCGTTCGGAAACTCGATTCATTTTTTCGAGTCGAGTCGAGACGAGCCATTCGAGCATGCCCAATTTTCGGGCAAAACATGCTCGTATATTTATTAATTAGACAATAAAAATATAAAAATTATTGAGCTCAAACCGATAAACGAGTTAATCGATCGCGAGTTCGAACCCATAAACGAACATCGACCTCGATAACTCAAAAAATACTCGATCTCGAGATCTACATTGAAAAGTTAATTCAGCTCGAGCTCAAGCTTAGTAATAATTTTTTGAGCCCCGCTCGATTAAACTATTACCCCTAGGATGATATATTGAGATTTTTGAGTTGCTAATTTGACGTTGATATGATATAAAAAACTTTCAAAACTAATATATACTGCTACAATAAAATCGGATTTATAGGATGGTAAAAATGTCCGAACGTCTTAATAAACTATCTTATATGACAAGACAATTGTATATTATGCAAAAGTTTTACAATAGAATTATAGGACATTTTTTATGTCTTAACAAAAGAATTAGGACGGTTTTAAAACAAATTGTCCTTTTATTTTTTATGATATTATTTTTAAAGAAAATATCTGTTAGAGACAATTGTGCTGTGAAATGATTTTATATAATACTTTTCAAAAATGTCAAAAAAAAAAAAAAGTTAATACAACCATTTATATACTTTCGAACCTTATTAAAACATCACCCAATATGACATATAATTATTTGGTATTATGAATTTAAATCATACAAAACAATTTATAGATATTTTTGACAGATCCAATTTTATTTATTGAACCATACTTCAAGACTTTAATTTTTTTTAAAAAGAAAATCAAAGTCAAAAGTGAAAAGAATAAGGTTGAAGCAACATTCGAGTAATTACCTAAGCCTCTAAGTTATGCACGTATTTCAACGTCTGCAACCCACTTTAATCATCCAATAAATAGCCCTCTCTCTTCTTCCTCCAAATGATGTACAAAGTAACCACTTCCTTTCTCATAATTTTGCATGAAATAATGGAGATTGAATCAAGAAATGAGTTATGGAACAAGCTAAAAATAGTGTTCTACATGTTCAGAAAAACCATGGCAAAAACAAAGCTACAAGTTGATCTCCACCTCAAGCTCAAAAATGGCAAACTTGCCCGGAAAGCCTTCACCGCCCTCCTCCTCCGCCACCACTATCCCGCCTACGCCCGCCGTTGCACCACCCACAACATTGAAACATCGCCTCAAGAACACGTCTTACGGAGCACTACTACCGGTTCCAAATCCATATCCCACCACCACCATCCTGATCATGACTACCACAAGCTTCATCAACTAGTACTTGAGGTGTTGAATGATGGCGATAGCGGTGCTGCCATCGAACCATTGGCGGTGGTTGATTCGCCATTGCAGGCCGAGGAGGAGAATCAAGTAGACAAGGCGGCGGAGGAATTCATTAACAGGTTTTACAAACAGTTAAAGCAACAAAGGATTGCTTCTCCATCACCAAATTAACCATTAGTGGGGTGAGTGATTTGTTGTGTTTCAAATCAGACCCATTATATATATATATCATTTAAAAATAGGGTTTGGTTAATATATATATATATATATATATATATATATATATATATATCATTTAAAAATAGGGTTTGNAAATAGGGTTTGGTTAATATATATATATATATATATATATATATATATATATATATCATTTAAAAATAGGGTTTGGTTAATATTTTGCATGTTAGTCATAAATTTTTTCCTGGTTACAACAAAAATTGGAAAATGTGTAACTAGTTATACGGTATGTATGTGGTATTTAATAAGACATTGTTTCAAACATTTTTTTGGTGGATGTAGGGTTTACTTCTGCCACCAATATCTAGCAATTCAACGTTTTGCAACACTTAATGTGTTGACGAGTTTCAAGACCCATAACAACTAGTTCAAGAAAATAGATAATACCGGTTGCCATAAAAACCACTAGAGTGTATATATATACATAGGATCATCTGAGAATTTTATCTGTGAAAATCCCTTTGTTACCATGGACGAGTTCGGTTGTTTTATTTTTTCTTGAATAACAACGAGATTTTATTAAAAAAAAACTAGCAAGACGCTAGAACAAACAATTACATACAAGAAAATAGGATATAGCCAAGAGAGGTTTATGAAGCCAATTTACCCAATTAATCTTAAACTTGCACTTCGATTGCTTGATCTTTTTCTTAAATAACAACAAGATTTTATTAAAAAACTAGCAAAATAATTACATACAGGAAATAGGAAATAGGAAATAGGAAAAAAGAAAAAGAGGGGTTATGAAGCCAACCCATCAAATTAATCTTAACCTTGCACTTCGGTTTTTGATTTGATGCATCAAAGAAACATGGTGGCAAGACTGTAAATAAATTGAACTTCGATGGCATTTTTGTAAGGGGACAAGAAGATTAACATACATTTCACACCTTAACACGTCAACGTTAACACATCTTACCATAAAAATACTGAAACTTAACCTACCTTAACAAATCTTAAGATTCCTTAACATGCAATCTTAACATACCTTATAACATTTAAAAACAATGAACATTATCATACTTTGACATTGAAAACATTGAACATATATATACAATTTTATTTGTTTATTCAACATTATAATATTTTGAATGGTAATATAGAAAATTATACAGATTCAAGCATCTATCAGTTTACAAAAACAAACAGAGTATTATTGATTATACTTTTGAACTTCAGCACCATCTCATATCACTTAGAAGTAAATAAAACTTCATATTTCAGCACCTATTAAAAATTAAACACCACCTAAATAACGGTTGAGATCTATTGCCACATTCTTAACCTTTTTACCATTTTCAATTAAATCTTAAGAAGTCCTTTTTCATGGAAACTATGAGAACCACTTCGTGGTCTACGGTTATCTTTTTCTAGATTTGATTGAAGGGTGTTGATCGCACATCATTTACGTGAAGCAAGGGAAATCTCGCCAACCAGTGCTCCGCCTCTCCTCCGCATCTCCTCGTCATCATGCATAAAATACCTTAACATTGTAGTTTTCATGTTAAGGTATGTAAATTATGTTAAGAAATGTTGAATTTTAGTTACCGTAGGTATCATGAATAACATACATTAGGGGTTCTGAGAGAAATGATCGATTAAGGTTAATCAATTGAAAGGGGTAATGATCGATTAAGGTTATTTAATTGAGAGAGGTCAAATGAGTGATTAAGAAACACCCGTTGTTGAGTGTTTGGAGAACAAAAAGAGGCAAAGAAGGGGTTGGTTTACCTCTTATCAGATGAAAGGACGATAAGACATAAGTGCCTCTGAAAAATTAGAAAAAACAAATAGTTTGAATGACCCTACCTCTTATCGAACCAGACATAAAAGACTGATAAAAGTTTTCTTTAAAAACAAACAAGCCTTTAATGATTTGATCCAAGAGATGCGATTAAAACTTATTTTTTAGAACATTATTTTGAAAGCTAAAACGATGGACCCATGCCTTTTTAATCATAAATATGCCAAATATAATAAAAAAGATGTACGTAAACAAATTATACCAGAAAAACGATCAACCATTTTATTCTATCTTCTAAATTAATTTAAGATCCAAAATATTATATTTTTCTTCCTTTTTTTCTTCATATTATTACATTATCCACTTTTTTACTATTCTTATTTGAACCTTTCCTACATATACAATTATTGACAAATAATCGTGTGAGAATAGTAGTTAGGGTGAGAAGCGTAAGAAGGGGATCTGGACCCTTGATCACACACCCACCCTATGTATCTCGGTGTATCTCATTACTGTTGATATTCAATTAGGATTGATCCAAAGATGAAGATCTCTTATTACCATCCATACCCTTTTCACCATAATTTCCATCCTCAATGGATCCTAACCCTACAACTGTTAGTGCTCACTTTGGTATATTTAATACTTATGTGGTGTTTTAGAAACGAAACTGTTGATCCCGTTAGGGTCTACAAGAGTTTTATAGAAACAATTTGTAGAAGCGGGGGGAGGGGGATGAATACAAACATATGAAACTTTCCAAATTTAAAATATATATTGATAAAGAAGAATCAATACAGATTTTACAAGATTGTATGCAGAAATAGATAAGGTAAACATAACCAATCTAAAACAATCTAAGTTACACAAAAATGATCTTAGCAAAGAGAAAAGATTTACTGTTAAGACTAAGAAGAAAATGAGTTCTTTCTGGGTAAGAACTTTTTAGAATACTTGAAAATAGATTCTAACTTGCTTTGAAAATAAACGTAAGTGTTCTTAGATGGGTGTGTGTTCTTTCACGTATGCACGCAAGGATTAAGGTGTCTATGCATGAAGATAACACACATCTATTTATACCCATTGCATTAAATGCACATTTAATACAATGTAGAAGGGTTTGAACACACGTCAAGCTTTTAGAGAAAAAACTTGTCATTTGCTACAGTGAATAGTATAAAAGCCTATTCATGAACAGACATCCTTTAATGGAGTTGGTAGGTAGTAGAGTCAACTAATCGGTTCCGTACTGTACTATACTCTAGAAAGGGTATGAGTTTGTCCTTTGTGTGTGGAAGGTCAAGACAAAAAGCAATCTTGCACAACAAGCTTCAATTGATTGCTGAATGCTGGAATAACCCTGAAGGTCTCTTCAGCATTCATTGAGGCTTGGGCAGTCTTCACACATATGCTAACCAGGTTGTAATCACTGAATGCCCCTTCAGATCACGAACACGCTAGTCTCTAATATTCAGTTTCAGTCTTCGACTTTTGCTGAAGGTTCTTTGGTGTGAGTTTTGTCTTCTTAAAGTATCACTGTCGCTGATGGATTTATAATACATGTCTTAGATCACTGAACAAACTCAGTGATAATCGCTGAAACTGAAAGAGAGAAACATAATACTTTGTAATAGATAAAAGGGATTATCATCAAATCAATGAGATAGAGGATCAATAATCTCCCCATATTTAATGATAACAAAGCAACATAAAGAAAGTTACCTTATCATATAGCAGTAAGGAAAAGTTACATATAAAGTACATGTCCCTTTTAACTGTTTTGTGATCTTTTCAGTGGGTCGGTTTTTACTTTGAAAATTTTCTTAAGTTATAAATTTAAGAAAAAGTATAAGAAGGGAAACGGAAACTGAAAGCATGTTCACTGACTTATAGACTGTTAGTAAATGTAAGAGAAACACTGGAACTCATAGACATGTGTCCCTATTACACTTTCAGGGATCTTTTTCAGTGATGCAAAAGAAACACTTATATGAATTTCAAAAGGAAATATTACAAGATGTTCAGTACATGTCTTAGACTTACAATATATAAGTTAAACACTAAAACTCGACATAGAATACAAAAGATATACAGTGAATGGACAAATTACAAAAGAAATAACTAATCTAAGTTGTTCAGATTAATGTAGCCATGTACATCTTCTCCGAGCTCCTTTCGACGTAGGAATTCTTTTCTGATCTTGCGGTCCATCACTTCACCATATATGTCATCATCTAACCAAAACCTGATGTAAGCGAGATGTTCCATCGGGCATAGATGTAACTCATATATTCTTTGAAAGATGACTTTGCCTTCATAGTCAAGGAAGATGAATCCTAACTCAGGTTTCATGTGCACAATGTTGGGTATGATAGGTTCAACATTAAAATATCTGGTTTCTTCTAAGCCTTCAAGACTTCATCTAAGGAGAACTTTGTTTCATGTTCGTTTCTCAGGGATGTTCTGTCATTAGGACTTGAAGGTATTTTTCTTCTTCCACCTTTCTTCAGAGTTGGCTTTTCAGGGACTGCGACATACCTGGACATCTTCTTGATTAGCTTGCTGATGATGTCTTTGATAATTGGCTTATGTCGAGATTTTGAGGGCTGAATGGCTTGGCGGATCTCCAGCCATTCACTGTAGCCGTACTCGCCGAGATAGGAAGGATACTCGATGACCGCCTCAAAGTTATTCCTGGTGATGAGCATTGAGATCAGCAAACCATCGTCTTTCATCCGTTCGCTGATGGTGACGTTTAAGATAGGATGAGGGCTGACTCTATTTTGTAGGCATTCTTAGCTCCAACGTCTGTCTCACTCGGCTAGCTTCAAATTTTTCTCGTGTTCAACTTCTGCAATAGAGAGAAGCTTAGCTTGGGCCTGGACAACGTTTACCGTCTTTGTGGATTTCTTCCTTGGAAGAACTTTGGTGGCAAGGGACTTGGCCAGCTTTAAGCTGTCCTCAGTTTGTTTTATTTGAAGTTCTAGTTCTTCCTCGGCCTTGAGAGCCTCGAGTCTTCCATCTTCTGTCAGGAAGTCGAAATCACCACAACTAGAGGTACGAAGATGAATTTTTACTCTAGTTTGGTCAAGCGACTCCCTGAGCTGAGAAATCTGCTGGTCGGTGGGAGCGTTAGGTCATGGGTTTTCAGGGACCCATTCCTCCACCGGACCGCAGGTAGTTGTGGGGATGGAGAGTTGGTACATAGAAGTTATGGTGATTTGGCTAGAGGACTAATTAGATAAAGGTTCTAGAGGATTGAACAATACCTTAAGATTGCCTTCTCCAACAACACCTTTTTTTTTTCGACTTGGTGCTTTTCTTGAGATGCCTCTTTTTCCCTTTGCACCCCCTGGGATGCAGAATCCTTGAGGGCGACGCCTTTCGTGGCACCGGTAGGTCTCTGGTATTGAATAGTGAATTTGTCGTCGTCATCTTCATCATCATCATCGTCCAGGTCATTTCCAACGTTAGGAAGGTCGGGAGACTCACCGTCTTCTTCATCATCTTCTTCATCGTCTTCTTCCACATCACCATCATCAGCTGCAAAGGTGATGGGAAGGTCATCGTCGCGAGCTTTAGCATCATCTCATACGATATCAACATCCTTAGCTACAAGAGCTACAGGAAGTTGGATTTTCATTAACAACCTCAGCTTCAGCTTCAACTCTAGGAGCTTCAGCTTTAGCGTCATCATTTGCTGGTACAATAGTGTTGGTCCCGTTAGGGTCTACAAGATGTGTACAACAATATGTAGAAGAGAGGGGGGATGAAAACAAACACAGTAAACTTATCAAATTTAAAATATATATTGATAAAGAAGGATCAATACATATTTTACAAGATTGTTTGCGGAAAGATAAGGTAAATAAAACCTATCTAAACAATCTAAAGTTACACACTAATTCTTAGCAAATAAAGAAAAGATTTGCTGTTAAAGACTTAGAAGAAAGAAAGTTCTATTTGGGAAAGAACTGTTTAGAATACAACAAAGAGATTCTAACTTGCTCTTGAAGATGAGCTTATTTTTTTTAGATGTATGTTCTTTTACTTAGACGTAAGTAGGTTTTGAGTGAGGAGTGAGATAGTATCTCTGCTTGGAGATAGAACACATCTATTTATACCCATTCATTTAATGCAACGTGGTAGGGTTAGAACGCGTGTCAAGCCTTAAGAAGAATGCTTGTCCTTTGCTACAGTAAATAGTACAAAAGACTATTCATGAGCAGACATCCTTTCACAAAGTTGGTGGTTAATAGAGTCAACTAATCGGCTCCGCACCGTACTAACTTTTAGAAAGGGTATGGGTTTGTCTTTTGTGTGTATAAGGACAAGACAAAAACAATCGTGCTCAACAAGCTTCTTTTGATCGCTGAATGCTGGAATAACCTGAAGGTCTCTTCAGCATTCGCTGAGGCTTGGGCAGTCTTCACACATATGTGGACAAGGTTGTAATCACTGAATACCCCTTCAGATTACGCACTCGCCAGTCTCTAATCTTCAGTTCAGTCTTCGACTTTCGCTGAAGGTTCTTTGGTGTGAGTTTTGTCTTCTTGAAGTATCACTGTCACTGATTGGATTTACATTACAAGTTCTTCAACAATTACTGAATAGACTCAGTGATGATCGTTGAAACTGAATAAACAGAAACATAAATACTTCGTATAAGGTAAATGTAATATTCGGGTTTCAAGTTTTGATTTAAGATTTTGGAAACGAATATATTTATATAATATATATATATATATATGTATGTTAGGAGTGTGGGATGCGTGTGATGAATTTAATAAAAGTTTTGTTGTGAGGGAAGGGAAAGTCGGCTGATGAGTACCACCATCATCACTCTTTGCATTTACTATATATAGAAAATGGAGATAGATGAAAAAGTTTTTACACTCTTTTTAAGAGGAAAGTTTCCCTCGTTTATCATCCGGATTGGCAGAAAGAAGAAGAAGAGAATTCAAACTAGGATTATCGGTTTTAAGATGAGTGTTAAAAGCTTTGAACTGTCAACTGTTTGTATAACAATTTAATTGCTTAAAGATCTGGCTTGTTATTCCATTATATATATGTGTGTTGTGCGGACTTCATCCTAAACCATACAAGTGGTGTCCGAGATTTAACTGAAACCGGTCGAGTGTTGTCCGGATTACCCCCTAAACCGGACAAGGGGCATCCGAATTTGCCCTAAGCCACCCAAGAGGCCATCGGATTCTACTTAAACCGCTTGAGTACCAACCGGATTTCCCTTAAACCGGCCAAGGAATATCCGGATATGTCTAAATCGCTCAAGACTAGTTGTCCGGATTCCAAGTCCGGTCGATTGTCCAGATTATCATTTTTGTTCTAAATTATTGTCCGGATTTCATATTCGGACAATGATGACCGGATTTCCATATCTGGCTTAATTTTGATTAAGTTCTATTATCATAAATGTAATGGCGGTGTAACCGCGAGAGAGATGTAATGGCGGTGTAATCGCGAGAGAGATGTAATGGCGGTGTAACCACGAGGGAGATGTAATGGTGGTGTAACCACGAGAGACATGTAATGGCGGTGTAACCGCGAGATAGATGTAATGGCGGTGTAACCGCGAGCGAGATGTAATGGCGGTGTAACCGCGAGAGAGATGTGATGACGGTGAAACCACGATAGAGAGATGTAATGGCGGTGTAACCGCGAGAGAGATGTAATGGCGGTGTAACCGTGAGAGAGAGGAAATGGCGGTGTAACCGTGAGAGGAATAGATAAATGTTTATGTCTGTACAGTTTTGATTCTAAACTGCTAGTTTGGAAAGTATGTTATTATTTGAGATTTGTACACTCACTAGACCTTTTGGGTCTAATGCTCAGTTGTTAGACTAACCTGCTTTGTAGGTCATCATACCTCACAGGATAAAGGAAAGGGGAAAGTGTAGAATTAATGATATTGAGTTACTCATAAATGTATTAAAGAAAGTTTTTGTTAGTCCATATTTTGTAAACAATATTACATACTGTGTTACGAGTAATATCATGTGGTTTATCTATACGTGGAAATTGTGGGTTGTTACAGTTGGTATCAGAGCCTTAGTTTAAGGGATCTGGGTATTTGCGAAATACTTAGACTTAAACTAGAGGTGTGGAAGTTATGATAATAGGTTTCACTGGAACTATGAACATGGGGAATATGTTATAGCTGAACCTATTAGGAGAAAGATAGATTATATATGATTGATATAATCTAAGTTATGGATAGACTTGACGATAAACGTGTATTATGTTTTGATTATATGAATAATCATATGTGTTTAAATGTACAGAAAGAGACATACAACTGAGAAATGGCAGATAATCTTAATCAGTCGGAAAGGACCTCTACCGGTTATGGAAGAGGTCGGAAAAGAAGAAATATAACCCAAGGGGAGGACCCGGAAAATGTAATGACAATAGAAACACGAAGTCGCAGCAGGGGTCGAGGATGAGGTAGAGGTGCTAGACAAGAAACTCATGGGGAACAAGAATTGTCGGCCCAAGAAAGTTCAATGTCTGGCTGTGGTAGAGGAAGAGTAAGGAGTGGACACAATGTTTCTGACCCCAGATTTATTACTCAGGAAATGCTGGCAGCTGAGTTGGGAAAATTCTAAGAGAGCTTGGTAAATTTGTTGGGATGTTCGGTTCCGAATAAACCAGAAATTTTAAGAGAACCTGAGCAACAGGAAGAAGCCGGAGCTAGTACCCCGGTAACTGGTACATATGTACCCCTCACTTTGTCTTCAGTTCAGAAAGGAGGGGATATCAAAATGTTTCTTGCCTGTAAACCTCCTATATTTTCTGGGGAGCGTGACCCTGTTAAAGCCATGTGTTGGCTTAAAGAGATAGAGCTGAGTCTGCAAATCAGTAAAAGTGCGGAAGAGGACAAAGTTATGTTTACTGTATCTCGTCTGAGATCAAGTGCTTTGTACTGGTGGGAAGTTCTGTCTAGTTTTGATCCAAACATTTTAAAAACTATGTTATGGGAAGAATTTGTGGTCAAGTTTAAAATGCAGTATTGTCCTGAAGCGACAGTACGAAAGTTAGAAGATGATTTTCTTCGTCTTGAACAAGGAAACATGTCAGTCCGCCAGTATATAGAAGTTTTCATGGAACAATTTCGGTTTGCTGAAGCCTATATCATATCTGAAAACAGTAAGGTAAGAAAGTATATCTGGGGTTTGGAGGAAAATCTTCGAAAGTATGTGATATCCAGGAATCCGACAACGTTTCAAGCAGCAGTTGATGCCGYTGAAATTCTGGAGCAAGACATTAACCAACAACCACAAGAAAAGGTTAGAGAGAAAAGAAAAAGGAAAGCTACAATGACTAATTTCCGTAGACCGAAGTTTAGGGAAAATTTGAATAGACCAATCTCAAGGTTTGCTGATAGGGCATGTACCCGATGTCATAAAATACATTAGGCGAATTGCAATACAGAGTCATGGGTATGTTTTAAATGTCTTGAACCAGGACATATAGCTCGAGACTGTCGGATGATGCGAAAACGTTTTACTTGTAATTCATCCCAACATGTAAACGCTGATTGTCCGCAAGCGAAGGGACGAGGTTCTGGTTTTGCTGGAGATTGAGGATCTGGATATTCTGGGGGTCGAGGATCTGGTTATGTGCCAACAGGTCATGGAAAAATGGATAATGGTGTTAATTCAAGTGGTCGAGGAGAGATAAGACGTGGGGAATCTGCAAGAGGGAGAGCCTTTCAGATGACGAGAGGTGAAGCGGAAGAGCACCCTGAAGTGGTAACAGGTACATTTCTTGTTAATTCAGTATGTGCCAAAGTTTTATTTGACTCGGGTGCAAATCGTTCTTTTGTGTCACCATCGTTTGTTAACCGCACACATTTAGAATCTAAAGTATTGAGTGAGGTTCTAATTGTGGAAACAACAAACGATAGTGAAGTTTCGATTAAGGAAAGAATAGATGAATGTTTCATAAGTATAGAAGGATGTGAGATGCCTATACAAGTATTTCCTTTACCTTTAAGGGAATTTGATATAATTATAGGCATGGATTGGTTAGCTAAAAACCAAGCTARCATAGTCTATGATGAGAAGATGATCCATATAGACTTACCGAAAAAAGGAAAGGTTGTAATTTATGGGGATCGATGGGATCATTACTCTAGTATTATTTAAGTTTTAAAGGCTCGAAAGTATGTACATAAGGGATGTGTTAGTTTTCTTGCATATGCTATTGATATGAAGAAATAAAAGGGAAAGATGGAGGATATCCCAGTTGTAAGAGAATTTCTTGAGGTATTTCCAGAGGATTTGATAAGTTTACCTCCGGATCGAACAATTGAATTCCAAATTGAATTACTTCCTGGAGTAGCACCCGTTGCACGTGCACCATATAGATTAGCTCCTTCTGAGTTAAAGGAGTTAATGTCTCAATTGAAAGAATTGTTGGATAAAGGTTTTATCCGACCATGTACTTCCCCGTGGGGTACACCGGTGCTTTTTGTAAAGAAGAAGGATGGATTAATGAGAATGTGCATTAATTACCGGGAGTTGAATAAACTGACAATCAAAAATAAGTATCATCTCCCAAGAATTGATGATTTGTTTGATCAAKTGGTTGGGGCTACTTATTTTTCGAAGATTGATTTACGGTCCGATTATCATCAATTGAAGATTCGGAATGAAGATGTGTCGAAAACATCATTCCGTACACGTTATGGTCATTACGAATTTTTGGTTATGCCATTTGGACTCACAAATGCGCCTGCAGCCTTTATGGACATGATGAATAAGGTGTGTCATCCCTATCTTGATAAACTTGTGATTGTCTTCATTGATGATATTTTGATATATTCTCGGTCAAAAGAAGAGCATGCAAATCATTTGAGATTACTTCTGGAATTGTTGAAACAAGAGAAATTGTATGCCAAGATGTCAAAATGTGAATTTTGGCTGCGAGAAGTTCAGTTTTTGGGGCATGTTATCTCAAAAGAAGACATTAAAGTAGATCCTTTGAAGATTGAAGCCATTGAAAGGTGGGAAGCCCCAAAGACTCCAACTGAAATCAGAAGTTTTCTGGGATTAGTTGGGTATTATCGTAAGTTTATACAAGATTTCTCTCGAATAGCTACTCCATTAACAAAGTTGACAAAGAAGAATATGAAATATGAGTGGGATGAAGCACAAGCTCAGGCCTTTCAAATGCTAAAGGACAAGTTATGTAGTGCACCAATTCTATCTTTGCCAGATGGAATGGAAGATTTTGTGGTATATAGTGATGCATCAAAAATGGGTTTGGGTTGTGTACTGATGCAACGTGGAAAGGTAATAGCTTATGCTTCTAGATAGTAAAAAAGTCATGAAAGACAGTATCCTACTCACGATATGGAATTGGCGGCGGTGGTGTGTCCTTTGAAGATATGGAGGCACTATTTGTATGGAACGAAATGTCAAATTTTCACAGATCATAAGAGCTTGCAACATTGTTTCATCAGAAAGATCTGAATATGCGTCAGAGGCGATGGCTGGAATTGGTGAGTGATTATGATTGTAAAATTGTGTATCACCCAGGAAAAGCAAACGTAGTGGCCGATGCATTAAGCCGACAAGAGAAGAGTGAAACTGTTAGCTCTCATTTCATTTAATGTAAAAGTATGGAAAAAGTAAATACTGCAAGTGTTGACAGAAAAGGTTCTGCTACAGAAGACCACAGAGGACCAACAATAGAAGATGTTCAAATCACAAGTGAAGAGTGACATAACCTCTGTTGTCTATCACAGAGGTTTTGGAAACTGGTCCTCTGTAAACAAAGCGTACAAGTCTAAGATGATAGAACCTCTGTTGTCAATCACAGAGGTTCTGGAAGATGATCCTCTGGAATCAAGTGCTCTCAAGACACATCCAGCAGAGCCTCTGGGATGGCTCACAGAGGGTCTGTAGTTTTATCTTCTGTGAAGAACTTCTTTACTTTTTTACTTAGGTTAGTTAGCTGCTCGTGCTTATCACGTGACTATGTTTGTAATCTGCTTTATTTGAACGGCTTGGATGAATTTGTACGTGTAGGTCATGTCAGAAAATCCGTTAGGAACGAGTACAAATAGCAGCTTAGGCCTTTGTAATTCAGTGTGCTTCCATATTGTATTGTTAACATTTTCAATCAATTGAAAATCTTTTGAAGCTACTCTCTCATTGTTCATCATTCATCAACTGTGTTCTTCATTGATTGTTTACTCTGTTTGTTCTTATTGTTTCCACTGCACTGTTAATGTTTAAAGATCATCCAGAGTATTTGATTAATATCCAAAACTGAGTTAATCGATCCTATCAATTGGTATCAGAGCAGGAATCAAATTCTAATTTGATTTATTCTGTTCTTGGTATTAATCTTCATACGCTCAAGAACACCTGTCTTCTTCATCAGGTTACCCTGTTCTTTACTATTTCTATCAATGGCGAATCTGCCCAATATTTCTTTTATGAGCACTGGTTCGCAATCTAAACCTCCCACACTCATACGTGAGGAGTACCCACAATGGAAAGTGCGAATGGTAAATTTTCTGGAAGGTATTCATCCCAGGATCTGTGAATTTCTTTATAATCCTCCCTA